CCCGCGGACCACCAGTCACGGCAAGACCACGCCGACTGGCACCGGACAAACTAGCCTTCGCTAAACCTGAGTTTGACAATTTACTATCTGTTGGTATTATTCGTCCTTCTCACAGTCCTTAAGCCTCCCCTTTACACATGGTGCTCAAAAAGGATGGGGTTAGTTGGAGACCATGCTGCGACTACCGAGCATTAAACGTAGTTACGCGCTTTGATAGCTACCCCATCCCCCACATACACGACATCACGGCATCGCTCAAGGGCACGACTATCTTTTCTAAAATCGATCTGGTACGAGCATATTACCAGATCCCGGTCGCTCTTGAAGACATCGAAAAAACTGCTATCACGACTCCGTTCGGTCTGTTTGAGTTCCTACGAATGCCATTTGGATTACGGAATGCTGCTCAAACTTTCCAAAGGTTTATCGATAGCATAGTACGAGACTTGGATTTTGTTCACGTCTATATTGATGACCTGCTGGTCGCATCATCAAACGTAGATGAACATTATCAACAGCTTACGCTATTATTCCAACGTCTTTCGGATAATGGAATAGAAGTCAACCCAGAGAAATGTGAATTGGGTAAATCAGAAATAATATTTCTGGGTCAGATCATCAAACAAGAGGGTATTCTGCCTTGCGAGGACAAAGTTCGAGCAATCAAGGAGTACAACGTGCCGTCCTCAATCAAGGAACTGAAGGCTCTTCTCGGTTCGGTTAACTTTAACCGACGTTTCATCCCTCACGCGGCAGAACGGTTACGACCATTAACCGATTTACTGCGCGGTAATCCACGCAAATTAGAATTGAACGATACCGCACGTACTGCATTCTCAGAGATCAAAACGGCTCTCGCTGAAGTTACACTTCTCGCTCATCCTGACCCATCAGCCACGCTTAGTATAGCGGTTGATGCATCAGATTTCGCTATAGGAGCCGTTATGCAACAGAATATCTCCGGTAGTTGGCAACCCCTTGAATTTTTCTCACGACGCCTTACTCCCACGGAGACGAGATATAGCGCTTTTGGCCGCGAGCTGCTTGCAGCCTACTGCGCCATCAAACATTTCCGACACGCAGTAGAAGGACGCCAATTCATTTATTCACCGACCATAAGCCCTTAACGTATGCCCTGCATACCAAGTCTGACCGCTACTCACCACGACAGTGCAGACATTTGGACTACATCTCCCAGTTCACGACAGACCTTCGTCACATTAAAGGCGAGTCAAACTATGTTGCCGATGCTCTATCACGTATCCAGACGAATGCAGTTACCTTACCGGTGCTCGATCTTCCTGCCATGGCCGCCGCACAAGCAAACGATCCTGTCTGTACAGAAGCACCACAATCTTCGTCCCTTCAGTGTCAGGAAGTACCCCTAGCTACTAGCTCAGGTACTATCCCATGTGATATTTCTACCGGTCTTCCTCGACCCATCGTACCCTCTACCTATCGCCGTCTCGTTTTCGATGCCCTAAATGGATTGTCTCATCCAGGTATGGCAGCCACATTACGTCTCATCGCTGCACGATACGTCTGGCCGTCCATGAATAAAGATGTTCGTATGTGGGTAAAGCAATTCTTACAGTGTCAACGATCAAAAGTGCACAGGCATGTTACTGCCCCCATTGGCACGTCCGCTAGGCATGATGCTCGCTTTGATCACGTTCATATAGACATTGCAGGACCATTGCCACCATCGCATGGGTATGATCACATACTCACGTGCATTGACTGTTTTACAAGATGTTTCGAAGCTATTTCCATCACGTCTATCACGGCGGAGACTGTTGCTCACCGCTTCGTTGAAGGATGGATGGCGCTGTTCGGTTGTCCCTCGACTGTCACGACTGACCGAGGACAACAATTTGAGTCCGCATTATTCTCCTCACGGAACACATATGCACTACCGCCTACCATCCAGCATCGAATGGTTTAGTCGAAAGGTTTCATCGCCAACATAAAAGTGCTCTTCGTGCACACGAAAACGACAATTGGTACGAAACCTTAACGCTCGTTCTCTTAGGCATCAGAACGAGTTTGAAGGCAGATATCCAATGTTCCGCCGATGAACTTGTGTACTGCACGACATTGCGTCTGTCTGGGGAATTCTTCACACCACGGGGCAGTAACGATTTCGGTAAATCAGACTACGTCCATCGATTGTCTGCATTTATGCGAACGTTGTCTCCGCTGTCAACTCGAATACAACATCGACAGGTCGCTCTCCATCGAGAGTTATCTACCTGTCCACATGTTTTCATACAAGTAGATTCGGTACGCAAACCTTTGCAATAGCATTAAGAAGGAACTTTTCCCGTGATCTCTCGTCACGAAAAGACCTTCAAGGTGATCGACACGGCCGTGTCGAGATCGTCAGCATTGATCGTCTCAAACCAGCACACGTCGATGATAGTGCCCTACCCGATAACTTCAGACTCAATGCTAGACCTATCAAACCTTCTAGAGGGATCTCTACGTCTACCTCGGATCCCACGCTAGATACATCAGAGACCTCGTTCTCACGTCCCGGTCAACAGCACGCGTCATCTGCACTATCTACGGACGAGACTTCCGTCTCACGTCCAGATCGGCAGACCACGCCGCCCTTGACCTCGGATGAGGGTGCAGGCTGACGAAGTACGAACGAGACTACCGTCTCACGTTCCGGTCGCCGAGTACGATTACCCGTACGCTTTCGCGACTAAACGCACAGTCAATAACGGATACGGTGTAGGATTATTCCTATACTACACGCATGATATACTTTTCTTTTTTGATGTTTTTGTATCCTGAGCCCACGCCTCCGACCATCGCCCGTTTGGTAACGTCGACTTCAGTCAACTTTGGCAAAAGCTGGTTTGGCCACCCATGCTCTAGTCAACGCACTCAGTCGATTATCTGGTCTCGAATTCGCCTGCCATACGCTTGATCGTTATGGTCGCTTCCGGTTTGTTGGCTCAACGTGCTTTCGTTCTACGTCTGCAGCGTTTTCAGGTTCGCATCCCTACGAACGCAATCATCAGATCCTGGATACAAACTATTCTGGTGTGGTATGCTAACTCAAGCAACAAATGCAGCACACTTCTTCTGGTACCGTTCTCCGTAAAAGACCTTCGTTGGCAACTCGAGGATCAACGATCACTTCCTGTTCCACCAATTCTTCCGTCCTACAACCGCACGTTTTCCGATCAGTCCCACGAATCAAAAAGCTATCTATCGAAAGTGTAAACCCTTTCTAATGGGGGGCTCCTGTAGTGACCTACTTTTGTCAACAGAACGCGATTGGTTCGATGAAAACAATTATTATTATTATAACCAATTGTACCAGTGATTGTTTTATTGTGCTCGTTTGTATAACTGTGCTAATAACAGCCATTTTGGTCTTCCATTTGTGCTCCATTACTTCTACGCGGTTTTCGACTACGCACGCACCTTTTCTTGCCAGTCGCATCTGTACTGCTTTGGCACGATCTCGGTATCCTTTCGATACCACGAGATTGCCAAGAAACATATTTCAACTGCTACTATCATCTGCCTTCTGATTTTTGGCCTACCGAATCTTATTGGTCTATTGACACGTAGTGAGGTAGCTGTGTTCATAGTCAAGCTCATATCGATACCACGCTACATGTCAATTGGAGCTAGCCCGTCATGGGAAACCTGGAAGCACTGGATGGTCGTTTCGTCCTATGGTGGGACTCCTACTTGACAGTATGCATCCACAATCCCGCCCTGCGAGAATTGAGCACAGGACCTACAAATCTCTTTATTTTAATCAATGTTGAGTGATTACTCACTCCTTTATTCATTTCATTACCCTTAAATAATCTCTTTGATTTTAAATACGATTAATGATAACCCATTCTACTATGTGTAATTACCCTGCAACATGTTTTGACGATTTTTCATCACATGCGTTGTGTCCTAGGCTACGTGATATGATGAGTTCGATTGCATTTTGATAAAATATATAATTCTTCGTACACAGTACTTCAACAAGTAACCTTTTCACATTTTTTAATCAGTCCTAACGATAACGGTGATTGATTATCAGTTAAATGTTAGAAGTTCAGTCAATCGACAATTGAGTTATGTTCATTCTTATTGTGAATGCATATTGTCTGCCAGACATCACGATGTCTCTGAATGTAATTTGTAAAGAGAATGATCATTAACGTTTCATAGATGCACCTGTATAGATTATGTGATAAATATACACAATGTTGTGTTAAAACAAATGAAATCAGATAACTTGACGAAATGTCTTGATATGGAGAACAGGTAGTCTAGATATTCAAACAGACCGCCAAACCATCTGGTTCTTACTGTGCTAGCCATTATCAAATAATCTTGATTTATGAAATGATATTAATTGATCTACTTGTTTTACTCAATAGAAGTTCACTGTATCTGTATTGAGATTGTTATGGATACAATTTTACACAACGTTCATCATAAATAAAGAGATTTAATATGAATACAGTTTTCGTCTGCATCATCTGGAAATAACTCACATCATGGTCTCAATTCAATTTAAAGACAGTGCACTCAATACAAGAATCGTTGACATCGACTAATACATTCAAAGTGAATAATCGTGAAAGAATGTTGATGTGGTTAAAAGTAGAGGACGACATGTGTCAAATGAAACAACGGGAATCACAGTCACTGTCTACTAACTACAATAAGTTTCAACACAACGATTAACTTGAACAGCCTACAGGACACAATTCAATTCAGTGGTTGTGTAATGGACACTTCAATCGTTGGTTAAACTACACCTTCTCTCAATACTAAAGATAAACAATGGGTCTATGTTTAACCTGAGGGAAGAATACACCCCAATTCGACCAAAACCATTTATGCTAACTATCCGCATAATTTATCAACATAGAACAATTGACACACCAAAGTATTTCTTTATTTCTCAAAGAATACTAGTAATGCAACATACAAAATGAGCTTCTGTTGTGATCAACGATTGTCATATTCTAGAAGATGAATGTTCTTAAATGACCATTGATCAGTCCAATCATTATCACGGAACTTGATGAAACGGTTATCCAAGACAGTTTCAAGGAGTCTAAATTGTTCGAGAAAAAGAAGACACCATTATGTAACTCATGGATTCAAAAGAAGCATTTTGATTAATCAAAGTACAACTGGTTAGATGAATGGCTTTGTTAATGGACATGTTTACCATATAGGAATGATCAACTTCTAATCTACTCATGGGTTTGTATAGTCTCAATGTGTTCACAGTAGTTATTTTAAACGATAGAATTGTTTAATGAATTGAATAGACAGAATGTTACGGGAGATCTGGAGACATTATGTTGAATAAAACCTTTATATTAAATATTAATAATTTCACTGTCTTTATGGATGTATTTGTTTTACTCAACTTCCAAAGTTGTTTGTTTATATCATTATTTTCAGACATTTTGGTTTCTCTTTGTATTTGATTTAATATTTGAGAGGTTTTGCTCCAAAAGCCTACAAAATTGAAGAGCGGCATTTGAGTTGACTATTTGTAAATTGCGAATAAACTTTGGTACCCAATTTGGAGTTTGGTTCTGTTGTTATTCTGGCTTCGTAAATTGCAAACGGATCGACATACCGTACTTCAATAACGGGAAGGAGCGAAAACTTGGATGTAACACAGAGTAAACGATCAACCTAATAATTTCTGACATAATAACTTACTGGCTGAATCCTTGGCTGTGGATAAAACTATATGAAGAAAATAGTGAGTTTACATTTAATTCTTGCATTGGAAAATTCTCAAGAAATTTCAACTTATATAACATGAATGAAATATGTATGACTTCCTGTCCTATTTGACAATCGTCCGTTGGATATACGTTCTTGCTGTTGTTGCTATTCACACATCAGGATTTGAACGCTATATCTTTCACTTCAAACGCCCGAGAGTTGTGTATTCACTGTTCTACTCAGTTTATTTAGTCACATATTTGTTTAGAAAGTATAATGTTAATGTCATTTTTAGTGAGAGTGATTATTCGATTTGTGTAATTGAGGATTGAATACTAGTCGATCGACTCACACCTTAACCAATAATTATATAAGTGAGGACTCATTGATTTACAAATAGATTGTTCGATTTAGTATGCATTTTTCACACACACTCTCACACCAAAACACTCAAAAAATAGTTCCATCAATCAAGATATATTAGTATGAAATAAGTTGTTCAGCTAGCGGAGTGAAATCACGGGATACTCATTCGTGTAATAGTTCAAAGTGTTTGCTTTACGATGTCTTGAGTACAGACAAAACAAGATCAGATTTCTTTGTTAACTCTTCGCTCAAGACTCTTCATCAACAACTCTAATATTTAATAATTAAACAGAACATTAACAATTTCAATAGACATAAATGGTAAGGACTTAAACCTTACGCGTTGTAGTGGCTACAATTAAAATAGATTTTCGTAGTTCACTCTAACAATCATAAATATATATGGTCAGTAATAAAGCAATTTATTCAACACTGCTGTAAGCACATAAGTCACATTATTGCACTATCAGTGATATACACAGATCTCTGACAAGATCTGCATAGCTCAACATTATTCCAGAATATGATCCGTTTCTGATATCTACTTATCCTAGAAAACCTTGATGATTGATAGTCGTAGGAATGTTATCTATGTCAGTAACCTTTTCAGTTGGTGGTATTATGAAACAAAAAAATTCCTAATCTAGTTAACAGCGAATGTGCTTTTTACAACTTACGCATACGTGCTTCATTAGTACGTTCTGTTTATTACGATGATGTTTCACTGAAATTTGACTAATTCATTACAGCTTCAGATATCTGTTGACAAGCATGATCAGAATATACTATTCACAGCATATGCCCATGACTCACATCAACTTTGAAGACAATATCTTTCATGAATCTATCCATAGAACCAACAGTTCTCCGTCATTTGAAAACCAAGTCACCATCACACTCACTGTTCGATATGACAGTATTTCATAAATTATTTTAATACATATGTGCCATCAGTTCTGTGGAAAAGTATCTTGTCGTGTTGGTTGTTGTCTGTCACTGATATGTTCTCACAAATTCAGTGATGAAATGAAATTCTTCAGTCGAGACAATCACTGTTCTAATGATAATTATTCAGTAGACCAATATATCGATCCATCACAATGATCATCTGTCATAGACTTTCATATTTACTGCGAAAGTGATTCAATTACTGAGATTGTTGATCATTTCAGTCCAAACATCAGCGAATATGAATAGTTGAGTGATGAGTTAGGATTCTTGTGATGCGGTAAATTCGTTATCCACGTTCATCTCAAAATGTTATCGATTATTGTCATATTGATTTACAGTAGACCGAAGTACACTGTCAGTTATTGACAAGTTAACTTATCAATGATGTCATCTTCTGTGAAAAGACAACTTGATATGTTCTACGATCTAAGTGAATACAAACGACCGGTGAATCAGTCATGTAGGAATCTTAGCTAAACTAATTATATGGTGAATGACATTGCATAAATAATCAGTTATAAAACACATTCACATTAGAACTCACGTGTAGCTGAAACATAGTTTCAATTATCATGTTTATTAGCAATTAGTCTAACAATGATCAGATGTTACATGAAAGACAACTACAAAGTATCATTCATTGAACAATCGTCAGTGGCAAAGTATGTTTCATTATTCAGTGAATTATAGATATTTATGTGTGTTAGATTGTATTTTATGATGGAAAGTCCTATGGATTAGAAAGTGATGAGTTCTTTCTTTGTCTCTGAAGATGATGTGGACCAAATACTAATGGATGTTGATCAACCTACACAATCATGATTGTGTTTTGGAGTGATAGTTGTTTAAGTTAGGAAGACTGTGAAATGAATTATAAGTGAGTGAAGTTGACGAGTTTGGGAATGTGCTAGAAGAGACTATCTGATTAGATTGTAAGACACAATTCAACTTCACTAGAACTTATATTCAAATGACAATGACTACGCATTGAATAAGTATTAGACACATAGAAGAACATCTTTCAGGTGTTTGAAATGATTTAGGAAGTATTGATCATTGTTCAAACGAACTTTTCAAAAGTTTATTTTCATCAAGTATTTACAACTACACTGAAGGGTCCAATGTGACAGTATAGTAAACATATCTTTGTCATGGTAGGCAATTGTAATCTGAAATTGTTGATTTACCACCGAATATCATTTGTTATTCATCCATTGTAGTTCTCACATTAAGTTAATTTTATTCAATTTTCCCTATACAATGACACAATCACTTCCTTTAAATATAATTATTTATCAGTGCAACTGATTGTTAAGATTTCATCTGACTAGATTATTCAACATGATAAATGAAAGCTTACTCAATAAATTTTCTCAAATTACTTTACAACCATGCCATTTCGTTTTATGTATTTGTCGTCTTCTTAGAGTTATTCATCTTTACATATCTGAATAGTTGAGATCATGAGTCTATTGGAGCTAGCCCGTCATGGGAAACCTGGAAGCACTGGATGGTCGTTTCGTCCTATGGTGGGACTTCTACTTGACAGTATGCATCCACAATCCCGCCCTGCGATAATTGAGCACAGGACCTACAAATCTCTTTATTTTAATCAATGTTGAGTGATTACTCACTCCTTTATTCATTTCATTACCCTTAAATAATCTCTTTGATTTTAAATACGATTAATGATAACCCATTCTACTATGTGTAATTACCCTGCAACATGTTTTGACGATTTTTCATCACATGCGTTGTGTCCTAGGCTACGTGATATGATGAGTTCGATTGCATTTTGATAAAATATATAATTCTTCGTACACAGTACTTCAACAAGTAACCTTTTCACATTTTTTAATCAGTCCTAACGATAACGATGATTGATTATCAGTTAAATGTTAAAAGTTCAGTCAATCGACAATTGAGTTATGTTCATTCTTATTGTGAATGCATATTGTCTGCCAGACATCACGATGTCTCTGAATGTAATTTGTAAAGAGAATGATCATTAACGTTTCATAGATGCACCTGGATAGATTATGTGATAAATATACACAATGTTGTGTTAAAACAAATGAAATCAGATAACTTGACGAAATGTCTTGATATGGAGAACAGGTAGTCTAGATATTCAAACAGACCGCCAAACCATCTGGTTCTTACTGTGCTAGCCATTATCAAATAATCTTGATTTATGAAATGATATTAATTGATCTACTTGTTTTACTCAATAGAAGTTCACTGTATCTGTATTGAGATTGTTATGGATACAATTTTACACAACGTTCATCATAAATAAAGAGATTTAATATGAATACAGTTTTCGTCTGCATCATCTGGAAATAACCCACATCATGGTTTCGATTCAATGTTAAGACAGTGCACTCAATACAAGAATCGTTGACATCGACTAATACATTCAAAGTGAATAATCGTGAAAGAATGTTGATGTGGTTAAAAGTAGAGGACGACATGTGTCAAATGAAACAACGGGAATCACAGTCACTGTCTACTAACTACAATAAGTTTCAACACAACGATTAACTTGAACAGCCTACAGGACACAATTCAATTCAGTGGTTGTGTAATGGACACTTCAATCGTTGGTTAAACTACACCTTCTCTCAATACTAAAGATAAACAATGGGTCTATGTTTAACCTGAGGGAAGAATACACCCCAATTCGACCAAAACCATTTATGCTAACTATCCGCATAATTTATCAACATAGAACAATTGACACACCAAAGTATTTCTTTATTTCTCAAAGAATACTAGTAATGCAACATACAAAATGAGCTTCTGTTGTGATCAACGATTGTCATATTCTAGAAGATGAATCTTCTTAAATGACCATTGATCAGTCCAATCATTATCACGGAAATTGATGAAATGGTTATCCAAGACAGTTTCAAGGAGTCTAAATTGTTCGAGAAAAAGAAGACACTATTATGTAACTTATGGATTCAAAAGAAGCATTTTCATTAATCAAAGTACAACTGGTTAGATGAATGGCTTTGTTAATGGACATGTTTACCATATTGGAATGATCAATTACTAATCTACTGATGGGTTTGTATACTCTTAATATGTTCACAGTAGTGATTCTTAACGATAGAATTGTGTAATGAATTGAATAGATAAAGTAAATGGTCAAGTGAATAATTTCAGACAAAATCACTTACTGCCTGAACTCTTAGCTGCTGATAAAATTGTATAAAATACAAGGTGAATTTTGAAAAGTTCACCAATCTCTAAATTGTACAAAATGATTGATGATCCATAGGTGTAAAATGTGTATCATTATTTGGGTTGTAAATCTTTAAATATAAGACACATATACTGTTCTATTTGATAATCGTCTGTTAGATATGTGTTATTGTTGTTGTTGCTATTCACATACTAAGATTTGAACGATATACCTTCCACTTTAAATATCAATCCCCTCTTCAACTCAATTCAAACAGTCGCTTACGCGTTTCGAAAGTATAATCTTTATATCAATTTTGGTGAAAGTGTAAATTATTCGACCTGTGTTTATTGATAACTGAATATTTGTTGATTAACTCACATGATAACCAATATTGATATGAGTGAAGATTCATTGATTTACACATAGGAGATTATTCTGTTTAGTATGCATTTTGCATACACATAAACATACACACGCGAGTATTCAACTAACCGTTTCATCAATCAAAATAGATTAGTCTGAAATAACCTGTATGCTTAGCAGAGGGGAATTCATAGGATCCTCATTGATGAAACAGTTCAAAATATTTGCTTTGTGATGTTAGACTACAGATAACACAAGTTCAGATCTCTTTGTTAATTGTTTATTAACTAAACATAAATGGTAAAGACTTCAAACTTACTCGTTGTAGGGGCTGCAATTAAAATAGACTTTCACATTTTACTCAGACAATCATAAATAAATGTAGAGTAATTATGTAATTTATTCAAAACTGTGGTAAATACATATGTCACGTTAAATGCATCATGAATGGTGAAGACAGATCGTTCACAAAGTCTGCATAACTCGACATCATTCCAGAATATGATCCGTCTCAGATATCTACTTCTCCTAGAAAACCATGATGATTTGTAGTAGTAGGAACTTCATCTATGCCAGTATTCCTCTCGGTCTACAGTCTTAAATGTGATATTATCAAACAAAAATAACGCGAATCTAGTTAACAGTGAATTTGTTTTTTCAACTTACGCATACGTGCATCATTAGTACGTTCTGGTTCTTAACAGGATGGATTACTGAAATTTAACTACCTCTTTACATCTTCAGATAACTGTTGACAATAATGAACAGAATATACTATTCACAGCATATGCCCATGACTCACATCAACTTTGATGACAACATCTTTCATGAATCTATCTATAGAACCAACAGTTCTCCGTCATTTGAAAACCAAGTCACCATCACACTCACTCTTCGATATGACAGTATTTCATAAATTATTTTAATACATATGTGCTATCAGTTCTGTGGAAAAGTATCTAGTCGTGTTGGTTGTTGTCTGTCACTGATATGTTCTCACAAATTCAGTGATGAAATGAAATTCTTCAGTCGAGACAATCACTGTCCTACTGATAATTATTCAGTAGACCAATATATCGATCCATCACAACAAATCATCTGTCACAAACTGTCATATTTACTGCGAAAGTAATTCAATTACTAAGATTGTTGATCAGTTCAGTTCAAAAATCAGCGAATATGAATAGTTGAGTGATGAGTTAGGATTCTTGTGATGCGCTAAATTCGTTATTCACGTTCATCTCAAAATGTTACCCAGTATTGTCATATTGATTTACAGTAGACCGAAGTACACTGTCAGTTATTGACAAGTTAACTTATCAATGATGTCATCTTCTGTGAAAAGACAACTTGATATATTCTACGATCTAATTGAAAACAAACAACTGGTAAATCAGTCATGTAGGAATCTCAGCTAAACTAATTATATGGTGAATGAAATTGCATAAATAATCAGTTATAAAACACATTCACATTAGAACTCACGTGTGGCTGAAACATAGTTTCAATTATCATGTTTATTAGCAATTAGTCTAAGAATGATCAGATGTTACGTGAAAGACAACTACAAAGTATCATTCATTGAACAATCGTCAGTGGCAAAGTATGTTTCATTATTCAGTGAACTGTTCATATATATGTATTACAGTGTTTTATGTAATAGGAAGACCTATGGATTGGAAATTGATGAGTTCCTTCTTTGTCTCTGAAGATGATGTGGACCAAATACTAATGGATGTTGATCAACCTACACAATCATGATTGTGTTTTGGAGTGATAGTTGTTTAAGTTAGGAAGACTGTGAAATGAATTATAAGTGAGTGAAGTTGACGAGTTTGGGAATGTGCTAGAAGAGACTATCTGATTAGATTGTAAGACACAATTCAACTTCACTAGAACTTATATTCAAATGACAATGTCTAGGCATTGAATAAGTACTAGACACATAGAAGAACATCTTTCAGGTGTTTGAAATGATTTAGGAAGTGTCGATCTTTGTTCAAAATCACCAGACAATTGTAATCAGAAAGTGTTGATTCCCACCGAATATCATTTGTTATTCATCCATTGTAGTTCTCTCATTAAGTTAATTTTATTCAATTTTTGCTATACAATGGCACAATCACTTCCCTTAAATATAATTATTAATCAGTACAACTGATTGTTAAGATTTTATCTGACTAGATTATTCAACATACAGCAATGTGAAGCATCATGCTTGATGTCCATTTCCTCTTATTGTGAAGTTTTTATCGCTCATCGGACGTCTAGCTTATTTTCATTAATTGAATTATATTAAATAAATTTTTCCATATCATACTATTCAATGTAACTATTTGCAACAAAAACAACATCAACGAATGAAAAAGAATATTTGGCGTGAAACTATGAATCAAGCAGTGAACAGGGGAGTTCAACCGGGTCATTTGACAGATAGTAACTAATTAAAGACAATGGTGGATAGTGGCTCAGTTTCGTGAATTGGTTGAAGTTAGACATTAACATCATTGGATACCGACTCAATGGTCCAGAGATTAAGCGTCCGCGCGCGAGACCAATAGGTCTTGGATTCGAACCCTGCGTGGTGGGATCATGGATGAGGGGTCTCATTAAATTCAGTCAAGCTTAGGAAGACTGTGATATGAATTATAAGTGGATCCAGTTGGTGATTTCACAAAGGTATGAAACGAGACTATCTGATTACATTATTAGACACAATTCAGTATCACTAGAACTTCTCATGTTCAAATGACAATATCAAGGTGATTTATTCAAAATGTACATAAGAAACAAATTTCAATCAAGCTTACTAGTTTCGTCGTCGAACAAACCAGAACCTGAATGTTAGAAGAGAGAAATGTCGACGATTACAATAACCGTTATTATTCTTCTCCTTCAATGTAATTATGTAACAATGAAACATCGATATTACTCATTATATTATACATAATTACCTGTTACATCATGTACAAATGTCAACCATACAATTGTACTAATAAACGTTACTAGACAATGATGATGATAATGCATAATCTCCCTTCTTCGAATTGATAACTCGTTAGTAGTTGTGACTGTTTGTTGATTTACATTTTATAATCAAATTTCTATTCCAGAAGAAGAAGAAGACGAAGAAGGATATTCGAACTGTTTACTTTGTTATGCAATCCTTATGTAAATAATAGAAAGAGAAGTAACAAAAAAATGCGATTGTATTCTGATATAATGAGATGAATATAAAACTAATCAAATTTACATTTTAACTTACATTTGCACTGACACTTTATATACTACTTAAATTAGTATGAAATTGTATGTATAATTGTCCTATTAATGTTTTATGATGCTTTAATAAGCAATAAACCTTAAAGAGTATTAGAGAATATAAGCTAAATTAATGATGTCAATCACGAGACTACATTTCTAAAAGAATGTTCTTTTTTCAACAATGAGATTTGTAGGGATCTGATTTCAATTGGATTGTATGAATGTTATTGAAATACACATGTTACCTAGCCTTGTATATAATCATCGACCTAATTCTCGTTAGTGAATAAAGGAATTAAATAAGTTAAATCAGTCAATCAGTAACAACATAGAGCTTCGTACGTACGTACGTACGTACGTACATCAGTTCGATTCACCATATCACATTAACACAGAGATGTAGTTGTCTATTCAAATCCTGTAGGGGTAAAGGTAGTAAGAGTATAAGCAGTAATTGGAAAGATAAGCAACAAGAATATTCTTGGTGTTCCGTTGTACTATTTAAACTTGAATTAATTTTGATTTGATTATTTATTCTATGAAGAAGTGGCTTATAATGGGTTACGAAACGTCAGAAAATCTAATTTATCTACTCATTGGGATGTTGCAATGTTGTGGCTCAGTAGACAGATAATGGTGACCGCCTTTTGCAACTATGCTCAGTAAATTAACTTTAAAAATAAAGAAAAACATCGTCTATTGTGGCGACCTTCGTAGTTGACTGATCGATAGACTTAAATTGACCACATTGCCATTAGCCACAGTTGAAAGCGCTCGATCGAAGTCTGTTGATCGTTCTGGAGAATATGCTTAGAATTAGATTATGCTCTGGTTTGCACATGTATTTTTCTGCGTCTTATTGTACACAGTAACCTCATAGCAACAAAACCTTATAATAATGAAAAAGTTAAGAATATATTTCAAGGACAACTACAGAAGTAGCCAGTCAACGGTGAAAATGATACTCACCCCGAAGCAGCTTAGTTTGCTATCCAGAAACCTGTGGAAATAGCAGTGATGTCTACCAGTAACTTAAACCAAAAAGGTTAAGAAAAATCAGTGGAGTTCAGAGGAATCTACTTGAATGATAGATGCTAGTAAACTCATTCTGTATGCCTCTGAACTCGATGAGGAGCAGCTTTAAGGTAGAATGATCAAAAGCCTATGCAATGATCGTGAGAAGTGGTGGGTAGCAAAGGAAGAAGAGATCGAAAAGGCAACAGCGATAGATAACAGTTAACGACTGCCCAAGCTTATCAAAGAAACGGGTATTAAAAACATGACTGTTAGTGTAATCATTTTGGGAAGAGACGTGAATATTATTCATTCTCAACCCAGAAGATTGATCAGATGGGGAGAACACTTTAAGGGAAGGTTTTAACTGGCGTTTAGTCACACTTCAACCACCTACTATCTTCAAGTAAATTATTATTATTTCTGATGCGATGAAATGAAAAGGATGGAATTATTTAGATCAATATTTCTTGTATCAAATTCATAATAGATTTCGTCTAGGGTGATAGGTGTGAACATTTTTCAGTATGACGTTTTGTGGTCAATATTTTCTTGTTACAATTCAGCTGAAACTTTGTTATATATGACAAGGGTAGACTTTCATTCAGTGTGGCGATTATCTTCCCTGTACCTTTGTGTATTTCCCTTTTATGTTATATTACTGTGTAGGTTTAAAGTTTGGTATATAAATGATTTTATGTTGGTTTAATGACGACATCATTTTGTGACTTGTTTGGAGTGTTTCTTTTTAGGGGGCCCATAATTGATCGTTTTTTTTGTGCTCTTACTTCGCATTCAGAGAATTGTAATGGAAGAAGAAAAAGAATCCAGGAATTGTGGTGGTTCTCGACCATCATATAAAAGAAGTACGACTGATGATTTAACAGAATCTATACGTACATAACAGTGATGACTTTTCGGATATTACAACTGGCTATACCAAGACAACGATGATAACACAGATCGAACACAATCGACCACTTAGTTACTGTTACCCTTATGACCATGTGCCCCTATCAATATATATAACGTAATGATACCGCAAATTATCGACTGGACCAATGACGCATAAACTCGTACGAGCAGTCTAAAGTCCTTATCAGTTCTTCTTCTTCTTCTTCTTTCTGCCTAGCCCTACCTGCCTGTTAAGTTCAGAACACCAATCTGAGCCTCTACGATATGAAATGTACAGATAGTTAATGCCTTTTGTATATAATTAATGACTAATTTATGTTAAAATGTACCTTCAATATTGACGGATACTTATAGAACCATGGTAAGTCTTAAAATTTATATGGATAAATAAATGAATCCTAATTATTGATGAATTTCTTTATAAATATTATAAGAATAGGAATTTCTGAGGATTATAGTAATTTATAATAGTTAAACTCCTAAAACCTAAGATCCTAGGTTCGAATCCCTCGTATATGATCATGAATGCACACTATTATACAATCCCAACTGTTTCCATATTTTCAATAATGAACGAACTTAAAATCGACTCATTAATTCAACTAGTATAAATATTAATTTGATTGACTTAAACAAAAAAAGTCATTCAATATTTACTTTATTTCTAATGTTATGTTCCTTTTTTGTAATGAATATACCTATATCCTTATATATTCGAGCATATATGATATTCATGTATCCATCCATCCATACATACATCTTATATACATCCCTATAGAAACATGAATGTAAACCCACCAACCCACCTAACCACTCACCCACTCACCCACACATCCACCCAGCCGCACACACACATATATATACATACATCAATTTGTACTAAGATCAATTAACCAATTGAATATTGAACATTTTTCTGAACAGTTCAAAATGATGCGCTATTTCTTTAATCTTTCAAATTCGTCGAATGTTTATTGACATTAGTATTAAATAACAAAATAAATAAACAAAAACAAACAAAAAAAATTTAGTAAACAAATAATCGAATATATTTTAAAAAATTTAAAAAAATTTTTATCATTTTTTCTGGTTATTATTATTATTATTATTGTTGTTGTTGTCGTTACGGTTGGCTCATTTTATAAACCAAATTGATCATGTATTCCATTTGCCGAATTGGAAGTATATTTATTTTAGTATTATTATTATTCAATATCATTATAGATAATGTTTCAGGTAGGTTAATGTTAATATTTCAATAGTTGAAATCATAAATGACTGTTTCGTCCTAGTATAGGACTCTTCAGAAGTATGTATCCACGATCTCGCCCTCTCTCAGCGAGATTTCAAACCACGATTTATCAGTCTCACACGAGAATGCTTAACTATTAGACCATTGAGCTGATCGGTATTTAACGGTGTTAATGTCTAATTTTAACCAATTCACGAAATCGCACCACCGTACACCATTGTTTTCAGTGAGTTGATATCTCACAACCGACCTCGTTGAAGTCCACTGGTAATTCCTTCTCATTGGAACTTCAGGAAATTCCTCTTGAAGTTTTATTATAAGGAAAGATGATTACTAGCTAACATTAGTTTATGATGCATATTTTATTCTACTTTAAGACTTGTTAGCTGAATTTACTTATATTTAGCATAGTTGATAATCAATCCAGAACTCAAACCCAGTACCATTCACTTCAAACACTATTGTGTTATCGACTGCCAGCCGCTATTTATCTTTATTTAGAATGCTTGTGAATCAAGTCTATATTGAGGCAATCAGAACAGGAATCATATATGTTAATAAGAGAGAGTTTGATCGATTGCAGTTCTAAACATTAATGGGAATATTCAAGTGATTTTAAACTTCACATCGTTTCACAAGAAATTGGCTATGTGGATTCAGTAGTTAAATGGATAACAAAGATGGTTTTTCAAGTGAACGATACTGGATTCGAGTCCTAAATTGAAGATCAACTCTGAGATGCAAGTATATCCATCTAGTGAGTCCCAAATAGGACGAAACGTGCGTCTTGCATTCCGCTGCTAGCCACTATCCATCTTTGCTTATAATGCTTGTGAATTAAGACAATATTGAGTCAATTCGTACACCATGCAAATATTCCAATAAGATAGAGAGAGAGACTGATCAATTACAGTTCTAAAACAACAATGGGAGAAGATTCAAGTAAACAATAATATCAGAAGGAGTATCTTGTAGATATTATAATAACTTCAGTAGTTGAATTCATAAGTCAATTGAAACTACACCACCATGGAAAACCTGGAAACACTTGAAGATCATTTCATCCTAGTGCTTCCAGGTTTTCCATGATGGTCTACCTTTAATTGATTCATGAATTCAACAGTTAGATTATAGTGTTTTGTTAACTATTTTCAATTAAATGATAATCATCTTTTATCCATGGTACATGAATATTCGAATATCATGATCTCTTGAATTTATGTAACACTTTAGACTGATTTAATTCTCTTTATATTTTGTACACAGGCGGTGGTTTATTTGATGACGATGATATAACAAGTACGTGATGTTTCTATTGTAATCTATACATGCTGTTCAATGGAGAAGAGGATTTGTAGCTCTGGTGGATGATTTTGATGGAGTTTTATTCTCTGAGCTGGATGGTTTAGTCGTGGAGCTTTCATCGTTTTTCTGAACGACATCATCAGCACAAACTTCAGATAGAAGTGAAGTGTTCGAATTTCTCCATATGCGTTTCACAGCTTGTTCTGTACACCTCGATGTTGATTGGTTCTTATTGACTTTAAATTTGTCTGAGGTTTGTCCTGATGATGTCTTTCAGAAG